GGAATGCCCTTAAGATATACTATTAATGTAAGGAATATTGTACAGGCAGTCATGCATTTCTGAATTAATAAAATAAATAGCCTTTTGTGTTTTAGATAAAAAACACATTTGTCTAGGAATAGATAAGTTTTAAGGAAAGAAAGGACATGACTTTCACAGAAGTTATATTCTTGATTCAAATGTAAAATAATAAGGACCTACGTTAACTAAGTATTAGAATTCCAGCCCTATACAATATCCAATATCATTATTTACGCATCATAAGCAAAAAATCAAATAGGGTCCACTTTGCTTTCCCTCCTGAAATAAAGCAGGATTGCTAGGTCTTTGGCATTTAGTTATTGCCAACCCAGAGCTTTGGCTTTAAAGGCGTAATGCAACGCTCAGCTTTTCACATTTCTTTCCACGGGCGAAAGCTAGAACATTTGCCTCAAATAGCTGAAAAGATTCATCCAAAAGATCTCCTTTCAAAGCTCAGGCCAAAGTATCAAAAAAACTTCAGAGTGTATAAATCCACTGCCAACACTGCATAACAGCAATTTCTAGCCGTCTGTGGCTTTCTGCTCTCCTGTGCTGCCACCCCCAAAGCACAGGTAAATCAAGCAGGGAAAACAGTCCAGCAAATAGCAGCACCCCGGGAACTGCCAGTTGCTGCATTGCTGTTCTGGGGAATTACCAGTCCTTTCCCTGCTTTGCTGACCAAGATTGGCAGGCTAAGCCTTTACCAAATACCTCCTCTGATTCCAGCTCCTAACTACTCAAGAACTCAATTTAACTAAAAAAAATGAAGTGCAATTTGGGGTTATTCGTCTGCAGATAAAACTCTGGACATATTCTTCCTAAAAATTAAGTAAAAAGGGACGTTTGGGTGTATCAGCCCAAACGCTCTCATCCGAACAGGTAAGAATCTCCCAGAGGTTCCCGCTGTATCATCCCCACACCGTGTCACCGGGAAGGTACCCTGACAGAGCATCCCAGTCGCACCCACTCTTCCAGGCAAGGCAAAAACCAGCCACCACCAAAATTCACCTAACGAAGCGATAGCTAAACCCACGCTGCAGTCCCGCCGCCCGCTGCTCTCAGCCACCCCGCTGCTGCCGGAGCGGGAGCTACAGCATGCTCTTCTCTATCTCCAAATACTACCCTACTCGCAAGCACTTTGCACTGGTCTGCTCGGAAAACTCCAGCTTCACAACACATCTTCCAAAGATGTGTGGTTCGCCATCCCTTAGCAATGCTTCTTGATCTATGCCTCCCAAATATAATGTCTCAAGGGCATCTTTTGAATACTTACTTAGGCTACTCTTTGCATGCAAGTGTTATAGTTGGCGTGTGTGCATGTGTGTATATATGTATATATTCACACACATAGGCACATGTAAAAATAGAAATCCTGTCATTTAAGAAAAAAAATGACACAAGCATTCAGCTTCCTCTGGAATACCCGCATCTCTCGGAACCTGAAGATGATTCAAATTTGGACATATTGGCATGAAGGACAGGTAACTACACGCTTTTGCTTCACTTAGACCCTAATGTTAAATAATTAACATTTAACAGTTACTTAAGCATTACACACTTTTTATACTAGCCTCCTGCGTAGATGTATAATTCAGAGCAGTCCAGAAGTCAAAAGCCATTCATCTGACATAAGGGAAATGAAGGCTGAAGCCTCAAATTACAAATCACAGCGAGAAATGACAGAGGGAAAGATAACAAGGGAAGGGAAAGGCTACAGTAGTAGAGACAGATCCTCTTCACCTCAATGCATTGTGTGGTCCCTCAATTTTTCCCTATATGCATTAAATATTTATTTATTTTTTAAATATAGATGCTTATTTTTTCGTTCTTTCAGAGTCACCTGCAAGTAAGATGAACATTTCCCAAGGAATAAATATTCTAACACTGTACATGCCAGAAAAGCAGGAAGAACTCGGGGATAACCCAAAAGCTAAGAACGGATCTCTACAGTTCTCTGAAAATAGCTTGAGCTCATAGCTTTTCTTCCTCACCAAGCAACTGGGAAGGACAGCTGAGAACAAGCTCCTGTATATTGCAAAGCGCTTTCTACATCAGTCATAGAAACATTTTACACAGAAAATTATTTTTGTAAAATAGCTGCAAGGTAAACAATCCAGTATAGCATAGTGTGAAGAAAATTAAAATGTCAGAGACGGCATCAGAATAAAGTAATCAGTAACTGAGAAGCAAAGATGTCAAATATAAGCTTTCTCTCACCATAAATCATTCCACGCAACACTTGGGAGTCAAAAGTATCCTTCAGTTAAACTAACTCCTGAATGATATGTTATTACGTATATTGAAACCTGAAAGAGTAATGGACAAAAAGGTTTTGTCAAGTGACTATAGAAATCTGGAAATGAGGAATCAAAGACTCATATATTTTCCTTGACCACTTGGTTGAATGAGGACAGAAATGTTTAGTAAGTCATACAGCCTGAAAAGCTTTTTTACTTCCCAAGCCTTACTTCATTGGGACTGAATGAAGTCTCAGCCTGCTATATCAAAAAACTGAAACAGACCTCAACTGTAAAAAAGCTACAGCTCTGCCTTCAGAAATAAGAGTTAAATTATAGCATCAAGTTGATGAAAACACACCATGAAGGATGGTAAAGTGGGTCAAAATCAGGACCGTCTTCACTTCCACAGTCTGGGAAGCTTTGAAACAAAGTTTTAGGATATTTTCATGAGGATACCATTTGTTATACTTCATTCTTCTGGAATTTATTAGATAGCATACCTAAGATTATCTTTTGGCTACAGAAACTATCATGCCTTTTTCTGAAATACAGCGGAGTTTTCCTACTTCTGCAAAACATCCAGACCTAAGCATGTATCAGCTCCTATAGAAGGTTCCTCTTCAGATAAATTGTCAAATAATTACTCTTACTAGCCTAGCAAATGTGTTGTCCAAGTATACAATGTCTGGTGGAGAAAACTGAACCCAACTTTCACAGAAAGAGGGGATTAGGCTGCAAAGAAACAGGGATTCCAGCTTTAAGGAAAAGGATTCTTATACAAGGACTGGCTACCAGACATGACATCCCAGGGCGCATGGCAGCCATCCGTTCCAAGCCGATGACCCAGCAAGATCCACTGGAGGAAACCTCTAGAAGCTAGAGGTAACTACTGAAGGAAGACCAGGATTTTGGGGAGGTGCGTGGCAGAGAAGGACACATTAATCAGGAACAGGTTAAACAGTGCATAGGAAGGGCCTGTGATTGATTACTTTTCTTGACCTCCTCCTGCCCCAGGTTGAGCTGCTCAACCATCTGCTAGTCCACAGTAGCAATGACTTTCTTCTGCTGTTGACAGGTAACGTGGGCAAACAAAGCCAGTAACACAACAGCTCATGGGGACTACAGAAAGACTCGCAGCTACCTGAGAAAACGACATGTGACCAATGCTGAATGTCAGAAAGCTAGGAGAGTCAAAAATATCACTCCTAAATGTGTCTCAACCTTGCAAAGAGGCAGCCTTGTTAAGAAGCCAATATATGCACTAACTCCTCCTTTCCAAGTTTAGTTCAGAGCTTCCCCTAAGGCTGATTTTGAACATAAAAACTCAACACCTCTTTCTTCAATTGCATAGAAACTACTACTATTCATATTCAATCATGATACTTCACTCTGAACCAAGCAGCCAGAAATCCTGAGACATCAGGATAATCAGACCAGTTTGAGAAAGCGGCACCTTATTGTCATCAACCACTTCACCAAGATGGAAAAACTCCCCCTGCATTTGCTGAGTAGTGAAGTGATCAACTGAATTGTAAAGGTGAAAACCGGTAATTTTGCAAAGCCAAATAAAGATAGCCAATCTCTGGCTAGTTTGGAACTCCATGGCTAGAAGGACTGCTGAAGCCTATTTCCCATTGGGTTCTTGCCTCATACCTGAGCTGCAGTATCCCACCTTGTCCTTCAGGTCTCCTTGAACTTTCAGTCAAGATAGGACCAGTTTTCCAGAACTTCTCTGTTCACACAAAGGGGCCTGTGATGGGACAGGAGCTTTGCTACTGAGCAGCCAGGCAGCACGCTGCTTCTCAGCCACCCAAAAGATATGCAAATGGCTTCAGGTGCTGAATACAGCCTCCTGCGTATTAACAGAAGATATGGTGCATGAAGCTAATAAACTGTAGACCTGTGCCCTGGGAGCACCCTAAACCTTGAAATACATTAACAGAACAGAAATTTAAAGAAAAGTCAGAGTTTAAGATGCTGAGGAAAGTCAATAATCAAGAGTTGCAATCTGAGCATGTAAGCTAATTTTAATATTGCTGAGAATATACATCTGCTTTAAAGCTACCACAGTATAAAGTGGTCTGTTTACCTAGGCAGCATGACTCTATGAGGAGTAGGTATGAAGCTGTACTGCCCAGCTGTTTTCTTCTTGAGGTTCCCCTCAAAGCAGCAAAACTGTTACTCCTGGATCTCTCCGCACACAAGGAAGCGTCCAAAACGCACCCATTCTGGCATGACAGAAATACGCATCCTTCTTCAAGCCTAGTGAGATCTGCAGGGTTTTCAAACCCAACCTCCTCATTTACCACCAGGAAGCCACTTCATTACTCTACACATAAGTAGGTATAACTTTGCCCAGCTTGTGAATATGGCACAACCTTGTCATCTCCTCATATGGCCATGAGGAAAAAAAAGCCACGAAAAGCCATACAAAAACTGGGGCAAGTTTTGTTGATAATCTACAAGAAAAATTCTTGGATTTTAAGATGCTTTGTTTACTGTCACACAACTGCAGCCTGAAAAGTACATGTACTGGTAGCACTATGATAAAAACCGTTAGAGTCAAAAGTATTTCTCTCAGTTATCAACTTATAAATACTAAGAGATTCTCCTGGAAAGAAGTCCTCAGGATCCACAGACCTTAACACTCTCCAGTTTGGGCAGCAGAATTTTAAAAAAGGCTATTATATCAAGTCACTATATGAATAAAATTCCATATGAAAACGTTTAAAGTACATTAGATTTTTGGTCAAGATGAAAGACTGAAAAAAAAAATAAAAATCAAGCAATCTATTCTAATTGGGTTCCCATGGTAACTGTACAATTGGGTTTTTCAGTATAACATCCCAAAGGCCCAATGCACACTTGTAAAATATACTTCAAACAGCCTGAATTGTTTTTACATTACAGCACTCCCAGGAAGATCAATTACTATACATCCCCACCCTAACTATTAGTGGCAGGAGATGTTAACACTATTGGCCATATTAACATAAGTCATGTAAAAAACACCACATATCACCATCATTATATAAAACTAATTACACACTTCAGATTCATCAAACATGTTCTGAGTAACAAACCAATACCAGTCTTGTCACAAGATCATGTTTACTGAATGTAAGAAATCAACCCCAAATATACGCCAAACCATTCTGCTTCTTATATTGATTTCAAGGATAAACAGAATCAATCATTAATAATTACATTATAAGATGACCCACAGGGTTAATCATATTCTTGGAAACTCTCACGCTGGAATCAAGCATAGCGGCATAAAAAGACATAACTGAAAAGCATTCAGATCGATGTCTTATGTATTAACGATAATATAAAACAAAGTGTCTTCACTAACACGCAACCCTACTGTAACTGGTGAAAACAGAACAGACTCCTACTATTCCATTTAAAAATCACAAGCATTTCTTTAAAAAATATCTTACTTTCAGAGAACTTAGCCCTGCTGGTCTTCGATTTCAGTCTTTGGAAGCTCAATGCTGGAGGCAGGCCCACTTCATCCTTTCAAACAGTCAACCACTTGCCTAAACCTCGAAGCTAAGAGGAGTTAACCTATTCCCACAGGAAGTAGGATTCAAAAATCAGTATTTTCAATACTTTCAGGAAAAAAGATTGTGGCTAACTTGCAAAATATCAGTTTCATTTCTGAATCAACCAGCCACAAGCCTTTGCATAACAGAACATGAAGACCCGAGTCACCTTACCTCAAGCATGCATTTCACATGCTGAAGTAAGGTCAGCAAAGTATCAGAGGTCTTAATGTCAACAGGAGATTGTGCAAGGGATTTCCCTTTTCCCTCCACCCTTCCTACCGCATTATATGTGAACATACTAAACTTAAACGGAGCAAGATGGAGAGAGAAATATTGTTTGTAAATTGTTTTGCCAGGATACTGCTCACAATCTAAAAAAGGACCATCAACAAAGCCAGCCCACCGCTGTCAAGACAAGTTTGTGCGTCGCATGTATACTGGATGTTGCGCATTCCGTCCCGTGATTTTATAAAGTTAAACAGAAAATGTAAGAAATCGTTGAGAGCGCTTAAAGTATACAGTGTTTATTAAAAAGTCTTAATTAACAGGCAATCTGCATATTTGAATATACTAACAACTGAAGATAATTATTTTATTGCTTGCATTGTACTGACTGATTTAAAGCAGTCAGATAATTTAAATACTGGAATGATAATTATGCAGCAGCAACCTTTACAAGACAGCATTAATACTTGCAGTCTACTAATAAAAGAGTTACCTGGAGGGAGTTAAGTTTGTGCATGTTGCATGTAGACGGCATGATTCAGAAAATAAAGCAGATCTGACTTCAAAGTTAGCTCTGCTGCTAATACACACTACTTCAAAAATACCAATTTCATTAATCTGATCATAGTGGACTAAAAAGTGACATTTGAAAAATACATAAAACTCAGGAACAGACCCACCAAGTAAGACCAAAAGCCCTTCTCCTCAGCGTCAACAGCAGATAGCTACGGAAGACTATAAAAACAAGGCAAGCATTTAGTGATACTTGTATACTGTCATGCCCCAAAACATGCCATTCAGGAGCTTCCTGAAGTCAGAAGAGAGATCTCTGAGTGTAAAAAAGAACAGTTAAAGGGCTCAGTGTTTGTCCAGTTAGTTTCCTTACCCAAACTCAGGATCCACAGCCTCCTGTTCCCAGATCCACAGCTTAATTATACACCATGTAGTGAACAAAATGTTTTGAACCTGACACTTGCTACTTCTCTGGATGACATTAGTTCTTACTTTTAATGAGACAGAATTATTCTTTATTCACCTTCCCACAGCTACTCAAGATTAAAGCCCTCTCTGTCACAGAATTGTGATATTCCACTTGGAAAGTGGAGAAGTCAGAATATTCCTATCAATGAACTTCCCTATTTCTCCTTGTAATTAACCTTAAGTGTGACTAATTCAGATGTAGGTATTTTTATCACCTTCAGTACCTCTATTGTCTTAGACAGTTTCAGCAGCAGGTCCAAAATTTACAAGTGATTTGGGAAGGTACTTGAAATGATTTATACTATTTACTTTAGCATAAGAATAAGAATAAATTATGCAGTTAATTTTTACTTTAGAGAAGGAAGCAGGAAGAGGGAAAATAGAGGTGGTCCTTTGAAACTATTCACTGTTTTAGTGCCTCAGAGGCATTTCTCGATTTAAATACTGATATACTTACTGGTTAAACTGGTCAAATTTGAAAGTTCTTCTAAGTATTAACACGCACTTAAACAAAACGTTACGCATTTAGTTACATGCTTAAGTGCTGCACAGATTCACAGACACAGTATTCCATCATGCTCGCTCACTCCAAAGCCATCTCTTCAAAGGGTCTTTTCGAACCAGGCACAAGCACCAGCTCTCAGTAAGGCTACGCCAAAATTAAATGTAAATTTTTGTATACTCTATTAAAAGTATAGGATGACTTATTTATACATATTGCATAAATCCTCATTCTAATAGAAAGCATTTTCTAACCTATCTTACTACTCCAACACACCCAAACACTACACTTGAAATAGACAGCACAGACTCCTGATCTAGGTGCAACAGTGGCTAATCCTAAAAGTTAAATTAGTTAGTTACTGTAGATATTAAAGCAAAATAGCATATGCTCCTGACAGGCATCAGGACAGGGTTCTTTTACACTGCTTTCTGATATAAAATAGTAAATAAGAAAACGCAACTTGAAAAATGATAGCATAAAGTACCAAAATGGTGATTATTGCTAATGAAAAAATTTCACAATTACTTAATATCCATAAAATTCCAAAGCCACACAAACTTTATTGATATTCAGTTACATTTAACTTCCTTTTTAGACAGGAGTCTGGAATACACAATTAGATCATAATTTCAGAAGTTCTAAAACTGCATTTTGTATTTCTGGAAAATACATGACTACAGGCTTAATCTATCTACGTAGTTCAGCTGTTCTTCCGCCTCTACATAGAACTTAATGCTGGGCTAAGTCTTCTGGGAGAGAACAGAATTTAAGGCAGCATTTATTTTCCCGTGTCAGGAAGGTTTTGCTTATTATACCTTTGTTCAAGTTCTCAGGCCTTCTGCTACTTTGCCAGCACAAATTTGTAGAAAACCAGCCTTCGCATATATCAGCAGGGGTAAGATATCTGAGAACTGGATGTCTGCATTTAGGACACCAAACCAGGCCTTTTCTTTTTTTTTTTTTTTTTTTTATGGCACTAATAAAAAAAAGTTATAAAGTTTGCAGGAACAGCTAAGACACATTGCTGAAGCCTGTCACTTTCTAAAAGATTTCAGACCTCCTAAAATTAAAACTCCGTCCTACATTTTCCCATTAGTTACATTCTCTTCACCAGTCCAGCTATCTTATGAACACTCAGTAAACTAGAGAATTGCACAATCCGTCAATAAAGTAAGCGTATTTTGAACTACTGTCCATATGACTCAATTTGTCAGTAAAAACTGCCACCAGCGCTGCGCTTGCAGAAAAATGTCCATAAATGCATTATTGCAACTGGCAGATCGATGTCCATAATAAAAACAAATAGATTTAACAAGTGCTTGCTTTTACGAGTTATGCTATTGGTGGAATGTGTATTCAGCTTCACCCTTCAACTTCTGGGAATGGGCAACAGAGACCAGGTTAGGTACTTTGCTGACTTCACTAGTGTTACAAACAGGAAATTATTCTAACACAGGAAATCTTTAAAAGTGTTAGACTGAATACTAATGCATTCAGGATGTATTTAAAAGTTTCATACATTCAGAATTTAGCAAATCGTTTTGTAAAATGAAAAATTTAACAGCTATGACAAAAACCAAAAATTTGTTTTACCCCTCCCCAACAAATTTAATTTAGGTCAACTGCATCCCAGGCAGAACGGCTCACTAGTCTTGAGGTTGACGTTAAAAAACTAACAAAAACACCCTCAGGCAAACCAGGACCTACAATTTTGTCCCTAGGAAGCCAACAGTTCAGCTCCTATCGTACCAATACAGCTGAGAATGACCATCCCTCTTGAAATCAAATCTCAGTCAACACACGAGCACAGATATCGGAGCCTGACAGGGTACTGTAGCTGGCATACCAAGGTTCAATTCATAAACATCACAGCTCTGGTTCTTCCAGAATCTTAATTACATGCTATCACAGGAACAAATACTACAAAAACTATCATCCACTTATTTGATATGCTCTCTCTCTTGGATTTTTTACATTACTATATTTCTTGTTAGTTTCCCCTGTCAACTACGTCAGTTCAAAAAGAATTTCTCTTTGGCACAGCCTTTCCTTCTTATCCATGCTTCCATAACAAACTTAATACTTTTTCTGCACAAGTCCTTAAATTAGCCATTCAAGTAAACCCCGATAACCTTCCCAAAGGGCATGAGCTTCTCCTTCAGGCTACTATCCCTTTAGTGATGCCATTAACTGATTCTCTACATACGTTAAGCATTAAACAGTGGTGACAAGTTAATTACAGAGTTATCAAGAGATAAAGTAGTCACGGTAACACAAGTTGCAATATAACTACAACAGTTTCCTATGGAGCTTCTGTTCAGTTGCTGGTGTAATTGGTGTAATTAACTTGTCATGGATCAGAATGCAGATAGGAATTGCTAAAGCCACCTTGAAAGCTCACATGGCTACATCTTTTTTCCTCTTGAGCGTGAGGCTTTTGGTAGAAGTGTCAAAATGTGATACATTTCTGTTTAAAAACAAAACAAACAAAATATTACTCCCTGTTAGTAAAATTATGTAGAAACTGCTCATAGAATGTTGACAAGAAAACAAACAACTGGGCAAATTTCAGAGTATGGTCTAGGTTTCTAAGACAGAAGCGTCCTGCAGTATAAGGGTAGTTAAGGGCACTTTGCCCCAGGAGAATATAAGCTTTACAGACAAACATCGTAACAGTCACATACTGGGAGACCTAATTAAAAGATTAATCAAGTTTGGCCAAGTTGCGCCATATTCACTTTGCGGGTAGAGTTAATAAAACCCCTTTGGATCCTGAAGTGCAGAGCGAGAGGCAGAGGTGGCTGTAAAGGCACATCAGCTCTGCTCGCTCGTTACCGTTCCCTCTGGCGGCAGCACAGGAACCCCTCCAAAGGGACGCTTGGGCTGGCAGAAGAGACCTCCACCTTCCCAAGCCTCCCTGGGATGCGCATGTCACAATTAGCTCCGAGCGAGCTGCAGGAACGCCTTCCACCTGGCACAGGGGCTTTTCAACGCAGGAAGGTGCTGGTGGGAGGCTCCCTATCATGGCTCCACTTAAGCTGTGTTTCCATGCAAGCAAGGGAAGACCAAAGGCCATCAAGGCAGTTCAGAGAGGGACAGCACCTACACAGCCAGTCTTGGTCCTGGGTGCACTGGGAAGACAGACAGGGCTTAAAGGCCAAAACCTTCATCAGCTTCACAGAGGGTACGCTGTCATCGGAAGTGAACACTCCCAAGGATAACCCTTCTGATTTCTCATCTGCCACGTGTGTGTGCCGGGGCAGAGGGGAGGGCCACAAATCTGGACGCAAGAGCTATGCTGTGACAGTCACTTCTACGCTAAATGTTATTTCTAATTTTATAAAATGCAAGGTTTTAACACGTGAAACAGTGTAGAGGCTGCACCTTACCATTTATGAAGAGCTCAACTTCACAAAAAATAAGATGCAACTCAGTAATAGGTTTATCTGGCAGTGAGAGACAGAAACTGTGCTTTAAGTTTAGTTGTTTGCAGTTGCAACGTTGCACCCTTTTACCACCAGCTGCAAAGCCTGGCTTTTAGATCTACAGCAAGACAAAATCCTTACGCTCATCAGTTTCACGTTGTTTTCAGCGCAGGTTCAGTGATCTGTGGAGAGCCTAAACACCTTTCCAAGCGGGCCACGACCGGAGCGCCTCCCAACGCTGCCGCACGACCACGACACCCAGCACAGGGAAAGGGCACCGAGAAGGCGGTCGGCGCAGGGCAGCGAGGAACGGCACCTGCGGCAACTCACCACTCGCCTGGACGGGGCACAACCTGCGGCGGCACCTTTTGTCCCTCTGCCGGAGCCGATTACT